TTCCCTTTAGCCAGCAAAGTTAAATAAAGGGGTTAAGCTACTTTGATTAGCCTTAAAATTCAATAACCCTATACCACCGTGATATGCATACACACGGTTGCTTTTTTCTTTAAGTATTTTGTATTCATCATTCTCTATGAGCATATTGTGAGTTTCCTAAAAAAGAAAACCATGTGTTTTACCCTCTTTCAATCTACTGCATATAAACACTCAGCACATATAGAAAAGTTAATAGACTTAGGGTTTCAGGATTTGCAAAATCCATCCTATAGTGAGTTAAATTATTTACAGTCTTGTGGTACCCAATTATATCATATACTAGAACCCAGCTCGTAAGCCCCCTTAGCAAAAGGAATTAGTAGCTTTTAGCAGTATTTTTAAAATGTGTATCTTCCTAAATAGACTATATTTCCATGAGGGTAAACATGTATCTGCTGTGTTGGTTATCCTATCTCTAGCACATACCACTATGTCTACAATATGGAAGACTGGCCACAAATATTTGGTATAACATTAGATAAAAATTTCTCAATCTGAACATTATTGACATTTTAATTTTTGTTGGAGGGACTGTACATTGTAGGATGTTTAGCAGAATCTCTGGCCTCTATGCACTAGATGCCACTAATTCTCTCCACTAGGTTCTCAATAAATGTGATAATTTCTGAAACTGCTCAAAATTATTTTTACTTATGCTACATAATTGGTAGCAGAAGTGCTGCTGATACTTTCCCATGGCACAGAGTGTTAGGCGAAATATGCAGGAAAGTAAATACTCTGTACAAGAATTATTGCCATCAGAATCTACCAAACACCCAAAGTGTAAACAGTTCTATGAAGGCCTTCCAACATATAAAGAGATGTAAGGTTTACGATCAAAACTTAGGGGATAAAATGACGGGGGAAATATGATTAGAATAAAGCTAGTTACATCAAGACAAAAGTCATTAATTGGCTAATACCTAATATATTTCCAGATTCCTCATTTCCTTTCCAATAATTTACCTAATGTGAACTGCAGCATCTATGATGACAATCTCTAGCTATCAGGAATTGTTAGGAGACCCTCTTCACCTTGGCTAAATGTCCAGTCTTTCCAATTATCAGTACCCACAACGTTTAAATTCTGAAGGAACTCCAACCTTCCCAGAAAGAGAGAACTGACCATGTCATCATATACACACATACACACCCATACACACACACACACACACACACACACACACACATACACACACACTGCACACATACATCTTCTAAACTGAAGGTAAAAAGATTCATTAAGTCTTTAGTGGGAACAAAGAAGGAATCAAAAATGCACACTAAAAAATTCCTAATAGGCTGCTATCCTATGTCCTTGCTTGCCCTCTCACTGTAATTACCAAGGCTGGACCACACAGAAGAAAGTATTTTAAAAATCCTTTCCCAAAGCAGAAAACAGTACTTGACCTAAAGAACAAGCCTCTGTCTTTCCTTTCTTTAGGCTTTACCTAGGCTTTTTAAAGTTGAAGGTATCTCCCAAGAAAGTATCACCCCCAGCTTCAAGTTTCACTACCATAAATGCAGGAAGAAAGGAACAAGCAGAAAGACAATGGCATTTCTAGTGCCTTCTCATTTCACTCCTCTCATTATAGATTTCAAAACTTCCCTCAAGAAGGTGGGTGGAGTTTTGTTCAATGCTGGACCAGTACATGTCAGAAATGTATTTTCTGAGCCCTCCGCTCAGAGAAAGCTGGTTTAAGAAAGGAATCAAAGAAATTTAATGAATAATAGATTTATATAAAACAATGTGATTTGTTATGCCCTTAATGCATTTTTATGTCTAACTTGATCATCACACAATTTCTATCTGGATTTCAAAGTCAATCTTTCAATCATGTCTCAATATATAAAACTTACTCATGCTTTTTCTATTTATCTCAACAAATTTGTGGTTTGCTGGGCACTCAGCCTCTGTTTGCTCAGCATTAGCATTATTGTAAGGCTTAATAGATTTCCCTTTTTCTGTCTAGATGGGTCTGAGTATCCAGTTAAAGCCTCAAGCCACTAGTGGCATCATTAATGCCACAATGATTAAGTGAGACAGCCAAGCGCCAGTGCACCATGAAGAACAACAGATTTTAAAGTCATCAAGTCTGAAGCACTGTCATGCTTCTTAAACAGGGCAAAATGCATTAAGTTCCTATTATTTTCACATTCTTCAGGTAAATGAAGAGGGCTGTTTCTAGCCTGTCAATAGTGCCTCAGTACTTTAACTAGATGTTAGGACAAAATGATGTATAATTACCAAATTCTTACCAGTTTCAGTTCAGCAGTATTGACTTTACTGGAAGGAATATGTATTTGCAGTAAAACCAGGAATACCTATTCTAACTCTGTAAGAAGACAGGCCATGGACATTTCCCCAAAATTTGCTTGATTACTTATGAAATTATTCAAATTTATAGATACATATTCTACATAAATTCTCCTAAGAAATGAAATACAGTAAATTTAAAATATAAGTTCATTCATTAATTTATCAATTCGCTCATTCTACATATTGTATTTAGGTTTAACTATGTGCCAAGCACTATGCTAAGGGCTGGGAATATGTTAATAAACAAAACAGACACAGTTTCTGCTCTTGTTCTAGCAGAAACTATGCAACGCATATATAGAAACCGATATCGAAAACATGTTACATATGTGATGAGTATTAGAAGGAGGTATGGAAAATATTTGAATATTTTTATACTGTGGAGTTGTAAAAAAACTATGACTAAGAAATTAGACCTTAATCCCAAAATTTACCAATTGCATAACCTTGGCTAGTCACTCTAAGTCTCATTTTTTCTAACCTTAAAAATAGAGTTAATTATCTAATTATGTCTTCCTCAGAGTAAAGGATAAATTAAACTGCATGCAAAATCACCCAAGATTAACATGTTGTAAAACGGGCACCTAGCAAGTGTTAGCAGACCCTCAAACCATCTGATAACTCATGCTTTTTGAGTGTGGTTTGAAAATTAAGTAGCTTTTGTCCCATATGTTTTATCAATCAAAGTGATTAGCAGGTAATGTATTTAACATTCTAAAAAACGCTAAAATAGCTAGAAGGACACTCCTCAATAAGAGAAATCTGTAAAGAATAGCTAGAAAATTTCTCTTTTGTATCAAGAAGAAAAGACTGAGCATATTTGCTCCAAGAAGAAAAATCGATATGCATGAAAAGTGAAGAGAATGTTCTCTAACGTTGAAAATGTCATTATAAAGGGCAAGGAGGTATAATGAAGGTTCCTAGGTGGCAAAAATCAGATGAGCATGGGAAAGTTTGGATAAATGAACAAACACCATCGTTGGGAGTTCATAGTCTATTTCTAAATAAGAAAATTCCATTCTGTAACATAACACTGAATTATTACTACCTACAAAGTGGTTGTCTTTGAAATCTAGGTAGTCCTTTTGTTTAAAACTTAAATTTTAAACAAAATTTAAATTTTGACTGACTAAACGATTTCAAGAGAGGCTATAGATTTACATAAAAGGCCATACATTTTGCATTATATACTTTGAAAACTGTGAGCCACATTTGTTCTTTATTAACAACATAAGCAAAACAGAAACTTGAAAATTAATTCATAAGATATACTCGTGAATGTTTTGATCTACTTATAATTACTTCACTGTTGTTAAAATGATTTGGCAATATAATAACTGATATAAGCACTAGAGTCATTAACAAGTGTTTACTGGTATGCAAATTGCTTGCCAAGGGAAACATCTTTGGATATTTACCTTGTGTTTCTATGAGCAACTTTAAAACAAAGAGAAAAATGTGTAAGTCTTTCCATTATTTTATCAATTTGGGAAGGTCTAAGAATCACAACATTGGAAAGATCCTTAGAAATGCACTTGCTTTTGTTGTCTGTGAACTGGAAGGAAAATGGAAATTCATCAGCCCCTCCTCATTGTAAAGTTATGTTTAAGCATCTTTGGAACTCAGAATCATTTCTCTGTACCTAACTAAAGCCTCTCTTAAGTCAATTTATTTACTATTCTAAAGCATACGCTACTTGCCCTATTGATTCCATGACATTATGCTTTAAAAATTGTTTTTTCTACATTGTCATTTCTGCTATAGTTTGGCTTTTATTCCATCACAACTAAAGGAATAAATCTGGGGCCTGAATTCTGGTCCCAATGCAGTGACGTCCTAGCTATGTGATTCTGAGGAAGGCACTTCACCTCTATGGCATCAGTTTTCTGTCTGTAAATTGACAAAATTGGATTAAATTATCATTGAGTTACCTTCCAGCCCTGCCATTCTATGATTTCCATAAAGCTTGATGAGTTGCCATCTGCTTTAGGAGGATAAAAACACTAAAGAAAGAGATTCAGACTGTAGTGTGGGGTCTGCCAACTTGGGAAAACCATGTCACCTCTCTGAGACTAATTTGTCTCATCTGTCAAATAGGCATAATTATACCTCCCCTATCTATCACAGAGGATGACTGATCTAGTGAGGTGAAAATATAGGTTGGCATATACTATAAACTTTATCCTTATCAATCTCTTAAAACCTGGCAGATAGGAAAAAATACAGTGAATACAAAAGTCTTCATGGCTTAAAGTGTAAAACTGAGAGAAAAGTACAAAAATATGGATCAGTTAACTAATGAAAGAGTGATTCATTTATCTTCCTAACAAACATATGAAAAAATTCTCTACGTCATTAATCATCAGAGAAATGCAAATCAAAATCACAATGAAATACTATCTCATACCAGTCAGAATGGCTATTACTAAAAAGTCAAAAAACAATGCACATTTACAAGGTTGTAGAAAAAAGGAAATGTTTATACACTGTTGGTAGAAACGTAAATTAATTCAGCCACTGTGGAAGGCAGTGTGGAAATTTCTCAAATAACTGAAAACTGAACTACCATTTGACATAGCAATCCCATTACTGGGTGTATACCCAAAATAAAACAAATTGTTCTATCAAAAAAACACATGCACTTGTATGTTCACAGCAGCACTATTTGTAACAGCAGATATAGAATCAACCTAGTGCCCATCTACAGTGGGTTGGACAAAGAAGATGTGGTACATGCACACCATGAAATACTACACATCCATAGAAAGAACAAAATCATGTGCTTTGCAGCAACGTGGGTAGAGCTAGAGGCCATTATCCCAAGTAAATTAACACAAGAACAGAAAAACAAATACTGCCTATTCTCAGTTATAAGTGGGAGCTAAACGCTGGGTACTTATAGACATAAAAATGCCAATAATAGATACTAAGAACTACTAGATGTGGAGCAGGGGAGACAAGGGTTAAAAAACTAACTGTTGGGTACCAAGCTCAGTACTGGGGTGATGGAATCATTCATACCCCAAAACTCAGCAACATGCAATATACCCATGTAACAAACTGCACATGTACCCCCTGAATCTAAAGTAAAAGATAAAAAATAAAATGAAAACAATCTAAATTTGGCAACACAATATTTAGAAAAACAAAGAACCACAGATTGGATTATAACACTATTTCTGTCATTAATTAGATGAATGAGTGACTTCAAACAAATTGGTCAAATAAAGATCCTCAAATGGACACAATCGTATCTAGAAAAAAATTTCTACATTATAACTTTTCTATGAAATACAGATTTTTAAAATTAGTGAGAGAAGAGCAAACCAGAGAGAGAGAGAGAGAGACAAAGAAATTGAGAAGGAGAAAATTTCCCCTTTGACTATTATTATTATTATTCTACTTTACAACATTCTAAACCTCTTGCTAAGAACAACTCAAAAGTTTGGATTATCAAAAATATGTGAACTCATAAACAAGTCACGAAGTCAGCCAGGCCTTGTGAGTCCAAGATCCCTGAGAGAATAAAATTCATGAGGAAAGGTACTCAGTGCATCTTTTCCCCTCAGTGCATTTTTCTGTTAGAAACCAGTACTGAGCAAGAGGCTGTGAAGCCGAACAGAGGGCTGAGCAGAGCTTTTGGCAGTCTCAATGGACTGGGGAAACAAAAATTGGGGTTCATGAGTGAAAAGGACTCTAGGACCTCAGAATTCAAGGTTTTGCAGTGACAAAAAGTACAAAGAAATGAATCTAACACTGTGTGCTACCTTTTTTTTCCCCCTCAAAGCAACAGTCAATTCATTAGCAAAGCAGGGAGGGAGACTATGAAGTTGAGAAGATTAAAGTCTCTGAAAAGCTAAGAACTTCCAACAATCACACAGTGCTGGTGAGGAAAAAAAATAGGTTCAGGGCCCACCAATCAGGAAATACTTTGGTAAACATCTCAGGATTAAAGTAGAGTTAGAGTTAGGGTTAAGTTTAGGGATACAGATAGGGGAAAACTAAATATCAACTGTACTCATAAAAACTGAAACATTGTGCTTCATCCAGCCCAGCCCATAAATTAAAGTCATATCCCTGTAATCTATCTGTACTTTATTTTTTCTTTTCTTTTTTAAGTAAAACCTCTCCAAAGAGATAAAATTCAGATTATCTACAATTTTTCAAATATAATAACTGTCATTCAATAAAAATCATCTAACCAAGAAATAATGGAAGAAAAAACTGAATAGATTCATCATTGATTCAGATATTAGTTATTAGAAAAGACCTTTGAAATAACCATAATTGACATGGTTCAGAAAATGAATGGCACCCCTAAGATATGAGTACTTTTCTGTATTGATTGTTATTCTTCACTAAAAAGTTTACTCTTAAAGCTAATTTGAAAATGTAGAAAAGTAGCTAATTTCTCCACAAAACTGTATCTTTGAAAAAGAATCAATGAAAATTCAAGAACTAAAAAGTTCAATAAGTGAAATTAAGAATTCAATAGGGGAATTTAAAAATGAATATGTTTTAGCAGAATAAAGTGGCAGTAAACCAGAAGAAATGTTAATTAATAGATCCAAAATGAAGGACTGAAAGAAAACAAAGATTAAAAATTATTTTACAATACCATAAAAAACATATACATCATTATAAAAATAAAAATGTATGTGTCAATGGACGCTGAGAATTGAAAGAGAGAAAGAATGTATATATCATATAATGCAGAAGCATTATATGATATATCATATATTATATATGCATTATATTATATATCATATAATGCAGAAGCATTATATGATATATAACGATCAGTGCATTTTCAAAACTGACAACACAAAAAGCTACAGATTCAAGAAGTGCTACAAATCTCAAGTAGGAAAAGTATAAAGAAAACACACCAAAACATACAATAATCAAATTGCTGAAAACCAATGGCAGAGATTGACTCTTAAAAGCAGACATTAATTATACAAAAGCAATGATAACATTGGCAGCAATGAAAGCCACAGGGATTTTTAAAGTACTGGCTGCCTACCTTGAATTTTATATTCATTAAAAATAAAATTCAAAAACTTAGGCAAAATAAAAACACTTTTATCAAACAAAAAGCAGAGAATCTACCACCAGCAGATCTATATTTAAAAAAAAAAAATACTAAAGAGAGCTCTTGAGGTAGAAGGAAAATGATTCTGGAAGGAAGCATAAACATCCAGAAAGAACTGAAGAGCAAAATATAGGGTCAATATATGGGTAAACCTAAATGAATATTGGCTATGCAGTCCTTAGAAGAAATTTGCAGCTATTAGGTAGCTTTTAATACATAAAAAATTTAAAAACAGATTATCTAAAAATCAAAGATTCCATCTCAGAAAGCAGGAGAAGTACAGAAAATAAACCCCAAATATAGTTGAAAGAAGAAGATAAGATGAAAATTAGTGACAAATAATATATAAATGTAAAATTGGAATTGGTTAGTTATTAGAAAAGACTTTAGATTGATAATCATCTAGTATGAATGATCAAGAAGATAAATGGGACAAGTTAATAATACTAGGATTAAAAAATAAAACATCACTTCAGATCTTACAAAAGAAAATATAAACAACTTAATGTCAATTAAAGTTAAAAATTTAGTTGAAATGGTGAAAGCCTAAGGGCAAAAGAACTCACCAAAACCAATATAAGAGTAAATTTTAAAACGCATATTTTCTAATTTTTGATAAGTAAATTGAATTACTAATTTAAAACCTTTTCAGAAAGAAATATCAAGCCAGCCCAAAGACTTCGAAGGTTAATTATTCCAAATATTAAAATCATAATGTTAATCTAAAACAAATTCTTCCAGGGAAAGCAAAAGATAAATCATTTCACACTTTGTCTTAAGGCCAGCATAACTTTGATTTTAAAAAAAAGACAAACAGTATAGGAAAGGAAAATTACAGGCCAATCTTTCTCATTAGCATGAAAGCAAAAAACAAATAAAGAAAACAGCTACATAAGAAAAAAATAACACTACATAATTTTAACTTTCAAAAATCAACAACACAATTCACCATGTTAAGAGACAAAAAGGAAAAAAATATAATTTCAACAGATATAGAAAATATACTTCATATCATAAAGTTCAACACTTATTTGAGAAAACTCATAGTAAACCAATAAAACATTATATTAATGTGAAATATTAGAATAGTCTTAATTAATATTAGAATGCCAGCTATCATCATGTCTAGTCAATACTATACTGGAGATTTTAGCCAGCACAATAAGAAAAGAAAAAAAAATTTATAAAGACCAAATAAAACTCTCAGTATTCTCAATTGATTCATATTATTTACATAGTAAATCCAAAAGAATCTATAGACAAAGTATTAGAAATGTAAATGACTTTAGCAAGTTGTCTATATACAATGTCAATATAAAAAAAATCAATTGCATTTCTTTCAGTGTATCCCCAACAATTAAAAAATACAATTTAAAAATGATACTATTTATAATATATCAAAATGTAGCACCTCTGGATGAGTAAATGTAATGAGATGTCCAAGACTTCTACACAGTGAACTCTAAAATATTATCAAAGGAAATTAAAGAGGGCTTACATAAATATATATACACATATATATCATGTCATCAAATTATAAGCTCAAAGTTGTAAGAATGTAAATCCTTCTCAAGTTGGCCAATGGATTCGATCAATTTATAACCAAAATCTCAGCAAAGATGTTTGTGGAAATTGACAAGTTGATTCTGAAATGTATATGGAAATGCAAATATACAAGAATTTCTAAGAAAATTTTGTAGAAAGATCAAATTGTAAGATTTACACTACCAGATATTAAAACATCATGTGTAGCAATTAAAATAGTGCTCAGTTTGCATAAGGACAGACAAATAGACCAATTGAATATGGTTTAAAAAAGGGCCAATGATATAACGTTATTTTATATACATCAAAGTTACCTTGTAAATAAATGGGGAAAACAGTGCTCTTATCAACAAATAATTAACTACATATCCACATGAGGGAAAATGAATTATGACCCCTTACCTCATACTATACACAAAATCAAGTCCAAGTCAATTTAGATCTTAATGTAAACAATTCTGGGAGAAAACACAGGAAAATATTTTAACAAACTTGGAGTAGGCATAGATTTCCTAAAAAGGACACAAAAAGCACTTTATCATTTCATAAAGAGGCTGATAAATTGGACAAAATTAAAAGTAATAACTTTTGTTCAAAAGGCACCATTAGAAAATGGAAAACGCAAGAAAAAGAAATAAAATCTTTGCAATACAAATATCCAAGATAGGACTCATATTCAGAATATATATAAATAAATAAAATAAATAAGGTAAAAGAAAACCCAGACTAATAAGTATATAGAAATATCCTCAAGCTTCTTAGTAATGAGAGAAATGCAAAATTAAAACTACAATATTACTATGTACCTAACAAAGTAGCTACTGAAAAAAAAAAAAGTAGAGCAGCTGGAAGTACCATACATTGCTGGTGGGAGTATAGATTTGTATAATCACTTTGGAAAACTCTATATAATTTTCTGCTACAGTTAACCATATGCTTATTCTAAGATCTAGAAATTCTACCCAAAGTTTACAAAAATGTTCTTAGCAGACTTAGTCATAATACCCTGAAACTGGAAAGCAAACTAATATCCATCAACAGCACAGTGAATGAATAGTGAGGTGTATTCATTCAATGGATTACTATGTGGGAATGAAAAGGGACAAACCGCAATGACAGTTTGCAAAAGACAAACTACAACAACATAAATGAAACTCACAAACATAACTCTGAGTGAAATAAGCAAAGGGAAAAATATTCTATGATTCGATTCATGTAAGTTTCACAGGTGAAACTAATTCATTGTAATAGCAGTCAGGGGAGTGGTTATTTTTGCAGTGTAGGTGCCAATGATTGAGAAAGTCCACAATGAAGGGCTCTGTTTTGCTAGTAGTATCAGTTTCTCTATCTGTGAAGTTGTATTCACTTTGTGAAAATTCATCAAGCTATACACTTTGTGAGCTTTTCTGTATTTATATTTTATTTCAATTTAAAAATAAACACTTGTATAAATAAGTAAATGAATAGACTGAAGCATAGTGTTTAATTGTAGTAAAATAAAAATTACATAAAATGTACCCTCTTAAATTTTTAAATGTACGGTATTACATTATTAACTATAAGTACAATGCTGTAGTAGATCTCTATAATTTTTTTACATTGCACCATTAAAGAAGAATTCCCCATTTTCCCCTCTCTTCAGTCCCTGGCAACCATCATTTTACTTTCTGTTTCAGTGAGTTTGACTATTTTAGATACTTCGTATAAGTGGAATCATGCAGTATTTGTCCTATGACTGGCTTATTTCATTTAGTATATTGTCCTCAAGGTTTATGTATGCTGTATATATTATGACAAGATTTTCACCTTTAAAGGCTAAATAATATTATATTGTATGTATATAATAATATATGTAACATATAAGTGAATTATATACATAAATGTATGTATGATATTTACATATATTATATATACATATGACATTTCCCTGTTATATATTTATATATATTAAACATTTTCTTTATCCAAACACCATATGTTTATCTATGTTTCTACCTTATAGATACTGTAAAGAATGCTGCATTTAGTGTAGAAATGCAAATATCTAAGATCTGTATTTCAAATTTTTTGGGTAAATACACAGAAGTGAGATTGCTGGGTCATATGATAATTAAATTTTTTAGTTTTTTTACGAATTAAAAACTGTTTTACATGGCAGCTGAACTATTTTACATTCACAGCAACAGTGCACAAACATTCTAAATTTCTGAACATCCTTCTCAACACTTGTTATTTTCTGGGTTTTTTTTTTTTTGTTTTGGGTTTTGCTTTTTTGTTTTGTTTTTATAATGACCATCCTAACAGCTGTGAAGTGATATCACATTGTGGTTTTGACTTGCATTTCCTTGATAGTTAATGATGTTGAGCTTCTTTTCATATACCCGTTGGCCATTTGTATGCTTTTTTTGAAGAAATGTCTATTCAAATCCTTTGTCCATTTTTTATTTTTGCTTTTGAGTTATAGAAGTTCCTTATATATTCTGGATATTAACTCTTTATCAATGATATGTTTTACAGGTATTTTCTACCATTCCATAGGCTGCCTTTTTACTCTGTTGTTTCCTTTCCTGTGCAGAAGCTTTTTAGTTTGATATAGTCTCAGTTGTCATTTTTGCTTTCGTTGCCTGTGCTTTACTTTTTTAAGTGAAATTTCTATCTGAGTTATTGTGACTTCACTCCTTCTGCACTGGCATGCTTTTTCTACAAATTATTTCAAGAATGCATACATGATTTGAATTTTTTTGCTGTTTTCTGCTTATATATTATTTGGCTTAGATGAGTTACAGAAGCAAAATTTGCAACTTGAATTTCTTGCTTGCTGCAACAAATGTGCTGCTTGTGAAGGCATAACCCTCAGGAGGCAAGTATCATATAGTTTGAAGGGATGTGTCAGTCAAGCCTCAAAAAAGTAATGCCAGAAAAGCTGAGGAAATTTAGTATTATACTAAAGCTGATATTTAACATATAAATATTTTATTTTTGTCCCTCCCAGTAACACATAATTTTAAACTTCACTAAAATGAATCCTATTGACCAAATCCTGAGAAACTGTGAACTACAAATTCCATCACTAAGTTATACCATATATCTGTATTGTATTTTCTCAATTTTATTTTAGTAGATAGAATTGTTAGAAAGTCTACCAAAATAACTAAAATGCACAAAGTAACTAAGCATTGACTCCATTAACTTTCCCAACAGTCTTGCTCTCTGAGTGTTATTGCAGTTCATTTTATCTTGCACTACAATTCAGGTAAGCACTCAAATTCTTCACTTTGTTACTAACATACCATGTGCCTCTAGAAATTTAACCCCAGCCAATTTTGGCATATTTAACACTTACATGGCACAGCTGCAGAATTTGAGGTTAATACAACCAGAAGACTGAAGACGAACATAACTTATAAAAGGAGGGGTCACTTTGGAAGTTATAGTACAGTAAATAGGCAGGTAACCTCATTATTATACATATAAAATCTGAAATCAGGTCTCTTTTATTTTGGTTATCTGAAATTAAATAGCATTTATATTCTATGTACTTACAATACTCTCTGAGCGATTCAGAAAAAAGGAGGCGTTTTATGCTATGAAGAAAGGTATGGTTTGACATTTACGGGTAAAAGTTTATATCAATGCAATAGTTGAAAAAATGTAGGGGAAAACTTAGATTTAATTTGTGTTTGATTATTATATTCCAGGTAACAATTCTATATAAAAATATTTTATTTTTAATAGATACACTTTAAACACATATCTGAAAATTTGGGGTCCTGGTTCCTACTTTGCCCAATAGACAGGGTTATTAAGAAGATAATAAAAATAATAGGTAACATTTATTGAAAGGACATTACATGCTAAACGTTGTGTTAAATATTTTATCTTTATAAAGTAGGTAGATCACAGACAAATGAAAAAAAAAAAAACTGATAAGGAAAGATAAGTTTTTACCCTAGGTCATATAGCTTGTTAGGGCAAATAAAGACTTTTAAATCATGTTTATTTGCAAATTCATGTGTTTAACTTACCTCACAGAGATCTAGTATGATAATAGAAATGAGTATTTTAAAAATAATATATTACTAAATTAACTGAAGAGGCAGATCTGAAAGTAAAATGGACATTTTGCATGTATCTGCTTTTGAAGCCTTTGAAACCAGAAGACTGAAAGGGTTAGTACTCATCACAACTAGGCTGTGAGTTTTGAAATGAGTAATCAGCATAACAGAGAAATAAGGACACTAAGCAGTATACAACATTTTTACAATTGTTAAAATGACTCTGCCAGCAGAGGTGGGCATAATTAGTATAACATCCTGAAATGCATGTACATATAGTATGTACATATTGTCAAAATTCTAAATGTACTGCTGAAATACTAAGATGGTGATAACTAAATGAAATCTTACATTAAAGATTTTGTAGTGGGTACTGAGTTTGCTGCACAGATTCTTCAGGGTCAAAGTGCTCATTCTCCCAACTGGTAGGAGTGTTAACTGCTAAGCTTCACCCTCTCCAGGAAGCTGCCTTGATCAAAATTACTTCATTTCTTCACCAGGGCAAACTGCATCCAGTGATCCCTTTAGGGTCAGCTGAGGCCTCTGGCTGAGTGTTCCCTAATAAATTCTTGCATACAAATCTCAAAGTTTTGAGTCTGTTTTCTGGGAAACCTGGCCTATAACAGTGATTAATCCCAAATTCTCTTGCAGTTCACTGCGTATGGTTCTTGCTATTATTACAAAAGATGCTCTTTTTTTCTATTTTTCCAATATCAAGTAATGGAGCAATAAACCTTCTACATAGAGCTGATATTACTTTATAGGGCTCCTAAAAATTTTATATAGAGTCCATATGTAACAAGGCAATCACATTGAAAAATGGTACACCTTATGACTAAAAGACTTTTAAAGACTTATATAGCTATTGGCTTAGGAGATTTCTTTCTACAAAACAAAAGTTTTAAAAGACTAAGTAGAAATATGCTATATTTTCCTCTAACTTGCAGGCAGCTAAATGAGTTTTTTTCCCATTTTTTCTTGAATAAAATACAAAATCTAAGTTTTAAAATGGAAATAATCCCTGCTACTTTATAAATCTATGAAAAGCCATTTGATAAGAAGCAATGATTTATAGTACTTGAAGGATATCTTATATTAAATTGTACCAGGAACTTCACTTCAACAAAAATTTGACATTTATTAACCATCTATAAGTGCAAGGCACTCATCTGGGTTTTATGGGGACAAATCAGGTGATTTTAGACTAAATACTTGTTTACTCAATTGCTACTATTCCTTTCCTTCAGGATCCCATTATTTAGTTGAGAAAAAAAAGGAAAATTAAAAAAAAACACACAAATACAAGGCAAGCAGTTATTAAATCCATGGGTGTGTTTGTTAACAAGACATATAATTAATATGTTTTCAGCATATCATGTGATTCTATTGCATATATCCAAGAAGTAGGAATATATCATAACTAAGAAAATAATATCAAATATTTTCAGAGGATCTTTCCAGCCTGAATGTTAAAAGTGAGAAAACCATGCTATCACTGAGCTTATATTATAAAAACATTTTATATTTTCAAAAATTTTCTAATAAATTCTATTCAATTCTAGGTATAAAAAGCTAGAAAGGCTTTTGAATGAATACCCTGAAAGGTCACTATTAAAATGCACATTTGCTTATATATAAATATCATCATATTGCAAATCAGATCTACTCCTTGCTCTGCTTTTCCTCTCAGTATATGGCAGCACCAATTGTTCAAGCTAGAAATCAACTTTGACACTTTTCTATCCCTTGCCACTTACATATAAACAAATCAATCTAATATATAGTAAATCCTCCTA